TGGCTGGCTTGAGTTGGGTTCAGGAGGTTGTATTCCAAAAAAAGAACTTCCCCAAACTCTGGGATGTATGGAAAGAGATCTTGTAGCACCTTTGAGACAAACTGAAAGAAAGAAGTTGGTAGCATGAGCTTTTAGTAGACTTCAGCCTATTTCCTTAGATGCCGTAGCTCAAATCTACAAAAGCTCATGCTACCAACTTCTTTCTTTCTGTTAGTCTCAAAGGTGTTACAAGATCTGTTCCATACTGATCTTACAGACTAAGACTGCTGTATCTTTGAATTCTGGGAAGCAGTAGTGGCTGGTGGTTTCTATTTCAGTGAAAGGTGAATTCACTCCAGAGCTATCCATGGTGCTGAATTTTACACCCCAATGAGATTCAGCACCTTGGCTGTCTCCTTTAAAATCCAAGAAAGAAACCCAGAGTAAGTTCACTTCCCTAATGACAGAGGAAGCCAGTAGGGATGCTCATGGCTGATCAGATTGGTGAGCCTTTGGATCTAGAAAAGGCCCAAAGAAAATCATGGGAGACTGAAGGATCAGATGGAATAAGACAGAATATGGCACTCCCAATCTCCAAGCAGATACATTTAGCATTCACCCTCTTTGAGTGTAAGCCAGGGTCGGCAACCTTTCCCCTTTAAGGGCCGAGGGACTTCAGCTCCCAGAAGCCTCAGCCATGTTGGCCAATAGTCCCACGTTGGCCAATAGCTCCTGGGATTCTGGGAGCTGAAGTCCCTCGGCCCTTAAAGGGGAAAGGTTGCCTACCCCTGCCAAAGATTGAGAACCAGTGATTCAGACCTTGAAAAAGGCCACTTTCAAGGGGCGATAGCTGGGTGACTCGGAACTGCAGTCTTGGAGAGGGGGGAACTGAGTTTCCCATGCTTTGCCCCATTGCGCCCTTGTACCTTAGACATGGACTTGTGCTGAGTGGCTAGGATTTTGCAGATCTGGTTGCAGAGGAGGATGAGGAGAGGCACCAGGCAGAAGGCGGCAGGGATGGTCACCAGAACTCTGAGAGCAGGAAGGTTAGTCAAGGGATTGAATGGGAAAAAAGAGAGGTTCACAAAGGCTGGATTGCCAAGTCTTTAGTCCTGGATTTGAACAGGAAGGAGAGGAGAGAAGTCAGAAGAAAACCTGTTGGGAAGGTTCAGGAGGCCTCAAGGTCTATGGCTGTGTTGCTGTTTTTTAATGCACTTACTGATCAAAACAAATGTTTTGGGAAATACATACTTGAGGATATCATGTAGCGTAACCAAACCAAGACACCAGATGTAACACTGAATGCATAACCAAATACTCAAAGCAAACAATGCTTAGAATAATATGCATGCACATCCATTGCACATCCATACACAATGGGCATTCGCATACACAATAACACCATATGCACAATGTGGAACTAAATGCAGATGTTCCGCACTGGACAAAAATGTCCAACCTTTTCTGTAGGGGAATTTATGTAGGCTTAATTCACGAACAAAACTCTGTCCATAAACCAGGGATGAGCAATATTTGAGCACAAGTGAAAGCTGGTGGCTGCCATGACAGTAAGGTTATGAATCCATTCTACCTTTTAGTCCAAACTGTAAAAGATGTTATCCACAGTGCTGAACTTTGTTCCGAAGTCAGGACTGAACACCTTGAAATGCTCCTTAAAATTTAGATTAAAAATAGGAATAGGTTCTCTGACAGAATCTGTTTTAATGGTGCACCATCCTGCTGATGTTAATCTTTTTTCTTTTTGTGGATTTGTGTTAAAGGATTTTAAAACTACGGTTGGCCCTCTACTTTCACAGGGGATCCATTCCGGGACCTCTCCCCCTGCAAAAATGAAGACTCGCCAATATTCAAGCCCCATAGGTTTGAATAGGGCATGCTCTCACGGGCATGTGTCCACGGGTGTGCATCCCATTGATTTCAATAGATGTTGCACCTCCATGAATATGCAAAACCATGGACTTCAAATTTGCGAGAACAAAGGGGTGACTGTATTTGTTATTTAATTGCATTTTAATAATCATTTTTGGCTGGTTTCTGCTTAGTGGATTCCAACTAGAGCAGACTCATTAAATCAGTTGCTGAACAATGAATCAACACATAGGTAAATCCCATTGAGTCAATGGATCTACTCTAATCAGGACTAACAACGAGATTTAGGCCTCTGTATAGTTTTATTTTTCACTTTGTAAATGTTTTAAGCTATATTCGTTTTAACATTGTAAGCCACCTTGAGTCCAAGTATTGGGAAAAATGTGAGTTGAAAATGATATAATAATAATAATAATAATAATAATAATAATAATAATAATAATCCTAAATCGCAGTCCCTGTTTTGTAACTTTATGAATCTGTAACTACATGGCAGAAACACAACAAAACTCTGTTAGTGAATTGCAGCCAGGCAAGAATGCTTTGATGTGCATCAGGATCAAACATTGATCATAAAGGAGATTGTAGTCAAGAAATAAGAAAAAGATTAGGAATGGGAAGGGCAGCTATGGAAGAATTGGACGAGATCCTCAAGTGTAAAGATTTAACTCTGAACACTAAAATGAGGATCATTCATCAAGCCAT